AGACTGGTTCTTAAGATAGCTTCCTCACAGGGAGGAGAAACTCATTTTAAATACAATGCATCAGGGATGACACAGATGAAATTTCAACTGGATGTTTTCCTTTTCCTCCATGCCAAATTCAAAGAAAAAAATTAAAAGCAAGAAAAAGCGCAATCTAACTGGCTTCTCTAAAATTGCAAAAAAAAAATGGATTCAGGGACACCTGGGGACTGACAAAATATACATACTATGCATATGAACTGACAAAACACTTTTAATTCAGAGTCTTGTATTTAAATTGGGAAATACCTAATAATTTCAAGACCCCATCTTTTAAAAAATGGCTGTACTATTTAAACCTTCCCAGATTTTTAGTTTTAGAATGGCTTTTAATTTAGATCTCTGTGTACATGTTCAATAACAATGTGACCTTCCAATACCTGCATTAGATTATTATAATTAGGTAGATAGATAGATATCAAGTGATGTGCTTTAGCATGCATTTATTCTCAAAGGATATACTTTGAGGACATATTCTCTGGGAAAACCTCACCTATAAGAATGAGAAAAATAAAATTCTAGTTAAATTTCTATTTAAGACCAGAGGGATTGCAAGTAATGAAGGTATGAAGGAAAATTTGTTCACATGTGAACATGTAAACATAACTTAATATGGTAATATGAAAAAGACAAAGAAAAAGAAGACCTAAGATCTGGGCTGTTTTTTAAACCAGTAAAAAAAAAAAGTAGTTCAATTTTTCAAAGGATATAGCAAAACCTAAACCTGCAGGTCTAAAAGAACTCTAAGGAATAATTCAGATTATCCCTTGTCTCCCTAAAATTCCCACTAATTAATCATCTAAAGACAGCTTTGACTACCTTCTTCACAAGTCACAATGCTTTTGGTGATATATGCTAGAATCTGTCTTCAGCTTGTAGTGGTTCTATACATCAATTATAATTTTTAATTTAGATCTCCAAATCCCCTTCAGGAACGTGGTTATGTTCCATCCTACTTTTAAAAAAATAAAATTAAAAGCTGTGCCTTCCCTCCATACTTCATACTAAGAAAACCTACTCCTAATACTTGCATGACTTGTATAGTTTTGAAACAAGGAATTTGTTTTTATTCTCTTCCTTTTCACAACTATACTCCTGGTTCAGATGTCATCTGCCTAAAATACCTAAGATTTAAATGTGAATTTAGGACTTGTTCCCCAAGGGTACTATGTCAAACTTACTTGTGTATAGAGTGGCAGGTGGCCAATCTCATTACACAGGTTTTATGGTTATTGCTCAGATGCTGGGCTCCTGTGTATGTAGCTCAGCATCATGGTGCTTCTCAACTCTGCAGACCTATTTACCATCCGGCAGGATCCTAAGTCTAAGTGCCCCATGTCTGTACTGAGCATCCACTTTACATCCCACGTATCTGAATCTCAATAAGGACGGCTAGGAATGCAGCTGGCAGGGATTAAGGCTATGATGAGGAAAGAGCTGAGAGTGTGAACAGCTCAGCTTGATGTTGCGTTTTAATGAAGGTGAGATTCAAAAGTTCAGTGCCAACAGTCAATACCTAATGCCTAAATTATTATATTATCAAATGGTTAGGAAAGCAAAAATCACTTCCACTTCTAAGTTCTTTCTTATTTATAAGGTAACCAAGTTGTATATATGAAACAAACCTGTAAATTAAAATATTTCCAATAAACTACAAAACAAAGAAATATTCTAAAATGTGAATAATAAATATGAAAATATTTTTGAAAGCCTAGACAGTGAATGGAAAGAGAAAAGAAGAGAATGACTAAATTAATAATGCTAATACTAAAGTGAGTCATCAGTCAGTGTCCATCAGCAAAACAGAGTCAAGAGTGACACAGAGAAGAGAAAAACAGTCATGAACTCTACTGGAAAATGCACTGTTACATGCTTCAGGAATTTCTACTCATTGCCAATATTTAATAAAACCCCTGCTTTCTCCTTAAGAAAATACTTTTGTACTTAGTGACAAAGTCTTACCAAAAAGCATATGCAATCTTCCACTGATTTTTATGTATGAGGCATGTAACTTAAGAGTAATGGTACAGATATTCTGAAAGCTACTAGAAAAGGTTACTTTTATCACATCTTAAAATCATCTATGATAAAGAACCTTAAGGTATACCAAGAACTGAATGATTTAAGCTTAAGAATGTAAAAGATCCCCCACTTTATTTTTGGCATGGGGAAAAAAAAAAGCACAGAATTAAGAAGTGTTAAAGCTTACATTTAAAATGACAAGTGTAAAAATAACGTAGAAGAAAACAGGTTTTGTGTCTGGATCCAAAAGCAACACACTTTTAAATTAAAATTATGCTAATGGGAGAGCATATTCACTGATATATCTGATAAGGGGTAAATATCCAAAATCTATAAAGTGCTTACAAAACTCAACACCAAAAAAACAAACAACTCAAGTAAAAGATGGGCAAAGGACCTGAATAGATACTTCCTCAAAGAGGACATACAGATGGCCAATGGACAAATGAAAATATGCTCAACATCACTAATCATCAGAGAAATGCAAATAAAAACCACAGTGAGATACCATCTCACATCTGTCAGGATGGCTATCCTTAAACCAGTAAATCAACAAACAAGTGTTGGAGAGGATGTGGAGAAAAGGGAACCCTTTTGCACTGTTAGTGGGAATGCAGACTGGTACAGCCACTGTGGAAAACAGTATGGCAATACCTCAAAAAATAAAAAGTGGATCTACCTTTTGACCCAGTGATCCCACTTCTGGGAATATATCCAAAGGAAACCAAAACACCAATTCAAAAGAACATAAGCACCTCTTTGTTCACTGCAGTGTCATTTACAATCACCAAGACATGGAAGCAGCCCATGTCCATCAATAGATGAGTGGCTAAAACAGCTATGGGACACTGACACAACGGCATTCTATTTGGCCATAAAAAAGAAGTAAACTTCACCCTTTGCAACAGTATGGATAGACCTGGAGAACATTATGCTAAGTGAAATAAACCAATCAGAGAAATACAAATACCACATGATTTTACTCATATGTGGAATCTAATGAACAAACTGAACTAATAAGCAAAATAGAGACAGACTCATAGATGGAGAACAGATGACAGCTAGTGGAGGAGGGGGTGAAGGTTAGGGGGTAGAGGGATTAAGCAAAAAGGAAAAAGGTCTCATGGACATGGACAACAGTGTGGTGATGGCTAAGGGAAGGGGGAGTATAAAGGGACTAAATAGTAATGGAAAAAATATAATAAAGATTATATATTTTAAAAAACTATGCTACCATAAAAAATAAATTTTTACTAGAAATTATAAACACCCAAGTTCTAGTTTCATTTATTTTCTGCATTAGAAATGAGCAGCAGAATTAGAAATAACAACTGAATCGAATAAATATGCATCTAGAAGATAATTTACACTATAATAAACTTATGAACAAAAATATCATTTTCCCCACAGCAGTAGTATATTTATTTTGCTGAAATCAGGTAGTAGGGAATGAATAGCTCTGGGGAATCAGTACAGAATGTTCACAAAGATTTACAAATCTCTAGTCATTACACACTGAGCAGCAAAAACATAGGTGTTGAATCCTCTTAGGCCAAACTATCATGTGTTGCAAAGTTTCTGTAATTCTCATGACTGCATGCCTCTGGGGGGGGGGGGGGAAGTGTGTGATTTTAATGCACAATAAATATTTTATAATTTACAAATATTCTGAGATAGTTGATCTGCAGAAACAGCATACATCCTGCACATGCAGTTTTGACATCTTGAGATATATAGAAATATTCATGCTTTTTTATTGGTCACATTTTCTCTTTCCATAATGATGCCTGTGCAACACCCCTAACATTTTAACCTGTGTAATAAGACACTATACAGTTGTTCATATATATTACATGAAATACTTCATTCATAAATAACAAATTTAACTGTCTGGTTCTGACTACTCTTACTGTTATTCATTTTGTGTCTTAACAATTAACACCTTATAACAATCAAGCACTGATTTTAATGATCTTTAGCACCAAGGAGTCAAGAATATTGCACCAAAATGGGTTTACACTTCATCTAGTTAATAAATAAGATCCTGCAACTCTGTCACAAGGAAAATATCACTCCAAAATTAAACACATTGAAAGAGAATAGTTTCACAGAAAAGTTTAGTGTACGCCATTTGTAATAAAGCAAACAAAAAAAACAAACAAACATTAGTGGATTCAAAAATTAATAAAGTTAATATTAAAATCTACATTAGAGGACTCCTTGATTTTTTAATTAAAATTTATTTAATTTTAAATGTTCTTTCCAACAGAAGAGGTAGGTATATTTCCACATATGAAAAATTGGTAACAGCCACAAATCAAAACATTAAAAGTCTGATAAAAATCAATATACTGTCATCTAACAGCACATTTCTGTAACAATTTTATGATGTTACCAATAAAGACATGAGTTGTTTCATGTTCCAATCAGACATTCATCTTAATTTGCATAATATATATTTCTGATAGAAGTATTGAAAGGCTGCGTTTAAGTCGCAAAAACTGTTTCCCACAGTGATTTGTGCCACAAGTCATGGCGACCTTTGGGTTGCTACACAGGATTTTACTGTAATTCTTTTTTTCACCAACACCATCATCATCAAGCCTCTAAAAGTCTACAGAGATCATCAGATTCTTAAAATTTAATTACAACCAAAAGGGTATTCAGACTAGTGGTGGAGAGATTCAACCATTTCAGTCAGCAAATGAATTCAAATGTGCAAATTTTAAGGTGTTTGTATTTCCAGCTTCGGACCAAAAAAAGGAAGGTAACTGATTTTAATCAGTAGGTAATTAGTAATTTAACCAAAAAACTCATAAAGACTGTGTTTCTGTGATCATCAGACTGAGGAATGGCTGCATATAAGATACATGAAAAATGTCATGCATTAGACAAACGGATGTGAACAGAGAGCGAGCCTCCAAAGTCACATAATAATTGCTTTGGTCTAGACAATATCAAAGCTAATAAAAAATGTTTAAAATAAAAACTTCATAAATAAAACATCAGGGTACAGTATTTAACACTTTACTCAATCTAAAGGTCACTAATACATAGGAGCACATTTGCCTTTTTCTCCCCACCCCCAAACCCTCATTTGCTTCTGTTTTCCCTGAAATTTTATATGAAATGGGAAATTCTTCACTGTCAACAACAGTTAAGGCCCAGTTCAATTTACTCTCCTTTTGCTTTTCCATTTTTCTGCTTTTTTCCATTTTCTATCACCAGTTTTTCTGATTTGTTCACACCATTGGCTGAAATACCATTCACAGCTGTTTTTCCAGTTTTTGACTTCTTGGGCTCATTGTATGTCCGAATGTAGAAGTTGAGAAAGAGAAATATGAAGCTGATCGCGTAGGCAATCAGAGCCCAGTGCATCCACTTTGGGAAGGGGCAATCAGTGTAGAGAGACAGGGCTGTGTGCCCAATGGTCACAAAGAACTGAACCTGAAAAACAGAAACAGTGCACAGTAAACAATAAACAGTAAACAACTTCAGAATCTTCTATGTAGCGAATACAGGCCCAACTTTTGCCACATTGTCCAAAGTTTAATATTCTCTGGCTCCCACGCCTACCTCCTTCTCATTCAGGTAGCTGCTCAAATGCCATCTCCTCAACAAGGCTTCCTGATGACAGAACTAAAGTGCCTCCACCCAACTAGCCATCTCAATTCCATTTAACCAATTCCATTTAACCGCTTTTGTTTTGTGTGGGTTTTCTTTTCTTTTCTTCTTTTTTTTACTTTATAAGAATTACAGCTGTCTGAAATTGTCTTTTGCATTTGGTGACTTCTAGATCACCCATCTTTCCACTAGCATGTAGCTCCAAAGGCAGGACCCAGTGTTGCTATGACGATTCCTGAGTCTCTGGCACTGTGTCTGGATTCCATGAATATCTGTTGGATAATGCTGAGTAATATTATCTAATGAGGGGAAATATCAGTGGCTCCCACATTTTAGACTGATTTCTTTTTTTTTAAAGATTTTATTTATTTATTTTTAGAGAGGGAGGTAGGGAAGGAAAAAGAAAAGGAGAGAAACACTGATGTGTGAGAGAGAAGCATTGATGGTTGCCTCTTGCATGCACCCCAGCTGGGTCTGGCGGGCAACCCAAGCATGTGTCCTGACTGGGAATCAAATCAGTGATCTTTTGCTTTGCAGGACAATGCTCAACCTACTGAGCCACAGCAGTCAGGGTGAGACTGATTTCCTTCCACAAAATTGTCAGCAAGCTGGTATATATACTTTCAAAAATAAACCTTTTACAGAATAGCAGATAGGTCATAGGCATTTGAATTAACACTATCCTTTAAAAACTAAGATGCTTGGTAAAATTTAGTAGGTAGTTGAGAATAAGTGCAAAAAGAGAGAATCACTTTCAATTTGAAGAGTTTTTAAAAGGAGAAAAGCCAAAATTGAGATACTTTTCATTAAGATGAAGGAAATAAGTTTAAATTCTAATTTATCAATAAGTGAATGGTTCTCAAAATAAAAGTTATAAATTTCATGATGTTAACAAGTGCTAAGTTTTTACAAGATTGATCTACAAAAGTAAATAACTTCTGGCTTAGGAATATACTACCCTTCATAAAATGAACATCCAATTTGGAAAGCACAATTGTGGTTTCTCTTTTAAGCACAGTATTAACAGTATTATTATGTTAAATATTATTAAAATAATTTAATTCAGGTAAGCCTCAAATTTATTAAAAACTTTTTAGAATTTTCCATGGCCAAATCCAGAGTTTAAGAACTTCTGATTTCACAATGGTTCTTAGAATCTGCATCACCGAAAAAGGGTGTGTGTATGTGGGTGTGGCTGAGTATGGCATCACTCAAGGAGAGTCAGGTGCAGGTTCCGACAAAATAGGTATCAATAGTTCATGTGATTTTTGTCATCTCTTTATTTTGGGGGGACCATTTACTAATTACTAAGAGAAATGAATTACACAATTATATACACAGCTTTCACAAAAACTGAAGGAAACTTCCTATGGCATTTTAGTTACAAATCAATCCTTTACACCCAGCAGTTCCCAAAAGTTGTGTTTCCTGTTTGGTTAGTCAGCTGTTTAGCAACTTAAAGCAGAGATGAATAGTATTTCCAAATGTGATTCCACTGATAAAATTGTTTACATACTATGATTAAAGCAAATTATAATAAAATCCGAGGCTTAAAGAATAGCTACCAGGTTGGTTTGGATTTCCAGTTTGATTACTGGGCTAGTGCCTGCCTTTGAAAGTTACACTGAAGCACCCAAATGCTACAGAAGTCCTACTGGGGTTTGTTCCAAAGGCTGTCTGCTCTAAAGGCTAACAATTTAAAATGCCTAGCTCTGCTCCTCAAGGACTTCATGCTGGAGAATTAAGAGTAGCTCTCTGGTCCTGGCTCCCTTTCTTTACCCCTACCCTTCCTTGACCCTCTGCCATTTCTGCAACTTTTACATTGTAAATGTATGGGGTTTGTTATCAACGACTGAAAATTGAACAGTAAACAGAATGAATAGAGATAATAATATTTTAAGTAAAAATTTGAAAAAATCACCCAAGAAAGATGTCATTATTTTTCTAGTCATATATGAGTCTATGTACGTTGTGGTGTACTTAGGTCTTTATTTGCCCATTTCATGAATATTTTTAAAGAATAGTTCTCTTAGACATGAGCTAGTCTAACTCTTATAAACATTTAAAAAGCAAAAGGCCATAACCAGTGGGTCTATGAACAGGCCAAGCGGCCTCAATCCCACAAATGAAGCATAGAGATAGTTGAATTTGCAATAGAAAATTGTCAAAAATGACTTCATACTTTATAATTAGTAAACTCAAACATTTTCAGTATTGCACCAGATGAAACTTTAGAAGCATTTAACTTACCAGCTGCAACATGGTCAGGTATCGTTTCCACCAAAGATATTTCTGAATCCATGGGCCAAAGGCAGTTAACCCGTAGTATGAGTACATAATCACGTGGATGAAGGAATTCATTTGGGCTCCAAAAAACGCTTTAGAAAAACAAAAGTAATTACAAGATACAGAAAATTTTATTAGGCAATAAACCATTTGGACATAAATGAGTCCACATTATTTTCTAACACTTAATCTTGAGTAATGATTAGGAATAAAAATTGTAACACTACTGGAAAAGCCTTCTCTTCAGATCATGCTAGATATTTTTAAAAGGTAGATTCAGACTTTTAACATATTTTAAAAAAGATGTTCTTCAAATGCAAAGGACTTTCAAAGTAGCAAGCTTTTGAATGGGGCGGGAGGGACTGCGGGGGGAGAAATGGAGACAACTGTACTTGAATAACAATAAAAAATGTGAAAAAAAGTCATAGTGCATATAATGGTTTAAGTAAATTTGTAATTGTCACATTATTGCCTTTACATACACAAATATACGTATCTACAAAAATGGTACTTACTTCTTAGGCTTCTAAATAATTTTAAGTGGAAAGTAGCAAGGTGAACTGGACTATTACGATTTGTCCCATGGGTCCCCACGAGAGGAATGGTCTATTTCCAGCTCAATAATGTAAATCGTCTTCAATCCACAGGTATCTGAGCAGCTGGAGCCAGATCTCAGCCAAACTATGGATTCACATTATCTTTAACATCAATGTGTCTATACACAACTTCCTTTGAGTGAGAACCAACAGGCCAATTTAAGGCCTATTTTAGAGGTGGAGTTGGCTCTGGGCTTGGATTGAAGATGAAGCCTTCACACTGAGAAGATAAATCTTGGTATCCTTTGGATCAGAACCACTAGAATTGCTCCCCATCAAAATATTATTGTCTGCATTTAGAATTACCTTATGCTCATCTCTGGGGCAAATCTTTAGGTGTTAAAGTAGTCACAAACAAAAAGCTAAAGCTTTACTTTCTTCAAATTTCTTTAAAATGAAATTAACACAGAAATAATCACAAAACAAGTTAAATTATAGACCAACTCAAATTCCCAGGTCCTCATTACTTTCCACCCAACAGATTTACACAATTTAATGCATACAGATATGCTTTTGAAAATGCTCACCTTGCCCCCCTGCAACCCACTTGATTCCAATCCACCACAATGTAAACATTGTACAGTGATGGTACACATGAAGGAAAGAGACTTGGTTGTTTTTCTTCCTTAGGATAAAAAACACCGTGTCCAAATACTCAATTCCTTTAGATACAAAGTACCACCACAGAGCAGCAGCTATCTGTAAAAAGAAAGAAAAAGGATGTTAGAAACACCAGATGCATGCCATCACATTGGTTTTCTACCCATTGTGTGTAAGTTCTAAATAATTTTCACTACACAAACATATGAGGCATGAAGTCATTTTTGCCTAAGTAGGTGTAAAATCTAGTCATCTGTCCATGGGGGGAATGCGAAAGATAAGAGTCCAAATATATATCTACTCTGTAGCAACAATACAGAAAAAGTGTCATATTACCTAGCTGGACCCCTGTAGCACTAAACTTAGAGCGCTGCAAACACATTCATAGTGCTATGTTTTTCAATTTGGTAGAGAAACAGGTATTTACTTTGTAAATGTACTTCAATTGTTCACGCTAAGCCTATATTATACCTCAGATATTCCTACAAGGATGTTTATGGGTAGCGACTGGTCTCTATTACGTCTCTCTCACTTCAACATGTGCAACAAAGCACTTAACCATAGTAGTTTGCATTGGCCAGTAAAATCTTTAAAATGATATAGTGACATAAACAAAATGAAACAACAAAGATTTCCTAGGTCATAAATATAATCCTGCTCAAATGAATAAGTCTTCTCTTTTCCTGGGCTCTAATTAAGACACCAGATGGTACAGAAAGATTACTGTACATGCTGAGATTAAGGATTCAAGGTTCCAATGAGAGGTGACCTCTGGATATATATTTTAAAATATTTTACAAGAATTCTATAATAGTAACCTAAACTCCACTTTTCTATGTCAAATATTTTCCAGGACATGTGTCCTAAACATGTAAAAAAGAAGGCAGTGCATAACTGAATAAACCTTCGTATGTGGGGGTTTGACAGATTTACGCACAGACAGGCGCTGATGTTTTAGAGTTCACAGTTCCCTTTCTCATCTTATCCCTGCACCTACTGGGTGTCATAAGTTCTTGTGTGTTTGTTTTCTTTTGAAAAACAAAATTATATAAAGTGTGGACCAAAGAGAAAATAAAGTCTTGTATTTACAGGTTGAGAATGTTTACTGAATTTGCTTGAGTAATAATATTGTTGAAAATTATAAAATTGGTTGAAAATAGGTTTGAAATAGTTAATACTCACAGCAACACAATATTTAATAGTCATTATTATGCTAGTATTTTAAAATAAGGTAACGATTTTGGCATAGTAAACTTTACCTATAAGGTAAGAGATAATGTCTTTATCCCCTCCCCAATCTGGGCTTCTAAATTAGCCACAATTCATGAACAGCAATAAATAATTCCTATCTTTCATTTGTAAACTGCATCAGGTATCTCTGAAGAGCTACATCAAAGTGAAAAGTGATAACTTCTTGTTACATCACAACAAATACAAAAACAAGTGTCTGGGTAAAGTATTTATTCTACAATATCTAATATTAAAAGGAAGATAGAGGGAAGAAAATTTCAAATGCAATCTGTTAGGAATCTCTGGTTCTTCCTTCTCCTAGATTACAGTTCTCACAATAGCAAATTTTTTAAGTACTGAATTTTTATGAATGCCAGGAGGGTGGTTCACAATCACCAGAATAGTATTTTTAAATCTTTATCCTAAGAATGTTAGCATGTTGTTTCACCCAAGGGTTTTTTCTAAGTGAACTCCTAAAAGAAAACAAGTTAAACTATTTTTCCTTTTCCTCTCCCACAAACCAAGCAAGACCACGGAAGTCAGATCTCTACTCTACTGAGGAGGTTCTCTAACAAGATGGTTATCTGAAAAAAATTTTTTTTCCTAGCCAACAAATCTAAATAAAGTACTCCCCTCATTCTCTCTCAGTCACATCACAGGTTTTATTTTCTTGTTAATCCTTTGTTTACATGACTACTGCTTGCCTCTCCCACCCTTCACTAGAACACCAGCTCCACAAAGGCCTGGATCTTCTGTCCTTCCACCTGTGTCCCCAGTGTCTCTCATACTATCTGCATGTGATTGGTGTTCAGGACACATACAGTGAATGAATAAAGCAAGAATGACAACTAAAGGGGTGATTTTTCCATCAGCACAAAAGTCTGATAGCACCATGAAGACACAGACATATCATGGCAAGTACATTAAAGCAATCTGATCTTAGGTCTTGATGAATACTGACCTTTACATTATCCAACCCCACTGAAAAATGCTATTTTTCTCAAGGGAAGCTACTGTATATTATATTATTACTACATATATTACATGTAACATAAAACATAACATGTTTATTTATGTTTTATGTACACATAATTTTAATATAAACCACAGTACACAAGAGTAGTTCAATAAATACTTAATAAAAATGAGATAATTTATTGTTTCTTCCAAGTGAGTAAAATGTTAATTTAGCTAATGTAGGTTGCTGGAAAGTAAATTATGATAATATTCTATTACTATTGGTTTATTTTTTTGCAAATATAATAAAAACTGAGCCCATACCTATACAAATTGTGCTATACTTAACTTACTAAACACTGCATAATTTATAAAACATGTTTTTTTCCTCAGACTTTCTTAACAAAGAATTAGAGTCTCTGCAGGCATTTTTATTCTTGACCAAAAACAACCAAAATCTAAAATATCTTTACACTAAACACGGAACTCTTTTTTAAAAAGTACTTCATTCTAGTAATCCAACATATATTCACTCTCACACCACCAAAAGACACTGGAGGTATGAAAACAGATTTTTAATTATGTACTTAAAAAAAAGCACAGCTTTACTGGCTCAAAACAACCCAGTACACTTTTACCATTATATAAAAGTATGTTTTTTGCAGACTGGGGACTATAAAATTAGACCCACTTTGACTGATTTAGAGAATTTTTAATGTACTTACTCTGACTTCATTAACATTATCAGAATAATCCACACTCTGGCAAATATAGCTGTATCCTGCATTATATGATCCCAGGAATAACTGAAAAAAAAAAGGTAATATTTGGACTAAAGTTTTAATAGATACAGCATTTAAAAACACTAAATACATATGCAATCTTTGAAATAATTTTTAAAACCAGTACTGTCTTTAAAATTTTGAATGTATTAAACATTTAATGTATTAGAATTTTTAAAATTTACTGTGTAGATTTATTCTAAAGTTGAAATCTAGATTAAAAATCACATATAATTTTTGAACTAAAACATCAATTCTATCTACTTCATAATATTAAGAGAAATTTTGATTGACCATGACTCAGATCCAAGAGCCACACTAGACTTGATCCAGAGTTGTTTGCATCTAACAAACTAGGTAAAAGTACCAAATAAATTCAAGTTTTTTTAATCAAGTTGAGATTCTGTAGCCTATGTTGTCAATTAAATAAAAAAAAATTTTTAAGGAGAATGCTATTTATTTTCCTAGCATCACGAGACCAGTTCTCTCCATTCATACAGAATGTTAATGAAAAGTTTTCTGAGAAACAAACTCCTTTCACTCATAACTTAAAAAATAGTTATACCTATCTAGCCTTTAGGATTTCCCTTCATGGAAAAATTGTGGGTACAATATAAATAATTATGTCGGAAAAGTATAAATGATTAGTAGCAATAACTGTGTAACAATTACCTCAATTTACCTCCAATCCAAAATACAATGACAATAAGAAATTGGAGTTAATTTGAAATTGGTATGTTACACCTGCATATTTTGATCACTTACAAAGCTGAAACTGCTGAGTAGAAATTATAAATAAATATATGCAACTATTTACTGAGTGCTTAATATGTGGTAAACACCATGTAAAAATTATCTCACTTTTATCTCTGATACCCTAGGAGATAGGTATTTTCCCCATTTTATGGGGAAACGAGTCTCAGAAAAATTAAACTTCCAATGTCAGAAGAGCTCATAAGGGTTTTTTTGGAATACAGTCTGTCTGCTTCAAAATTCCATTTTAAATACTTGTCCTTTACCTTATATATGTTTTATATTTTTGGTATCCAAAATGAAAAATGTCAATAATATAAAATTTACTTTTAAAGTAACCAACAGTTATACTGGGGTACAATGTCACAATGATGGTTTTTCATATTCTTATAGTAAACCTACCTCTCTGAAGATAAACAAATTAAGCAAAACCATCCCAAAATTATAGACAATAAGCACCAAGCGCATCTGAAAAGGTTCTCGGGCCTTCATCCACTTTGGGCCCAACCACACGAATAGGAGATAAAGAGTACTTATACAAAGAGTAGGCCATGGAGAATGCATTAGAGGCCAATTTTCCACACGTTTATCTACAGAGAAAACAAAATAACATAAAATCATTAAAAATAAATGTCTTATAAAATGAACTTATTAGGAGTTATGTTTCAAAATAGTTTTCCTAATTTGACCAAATACAGATCATCATCCTTTGAATTACAACAAAAATACATGGCATAAAACCCAAAGAGACAAGACCAATTCTTGTGAGCAGCTTCTGAAAATGAAGCTTCATTATATATGGCACACAGTATGTTTTATAGAGAACCTAGAGAACAAAAACAAGAAATAAAGCTCACTAAAAATGTGGAACAAACTTCGGATAAGTAATAAAAGCCTCCACAGACAGAAAAATACTAAATATTTTAAGGAGAAATGTGTCTTCCATATTAAACATGTGAAATTCATCAGTGCAGTTTGGAGGCTGCTCCCTCCTATGTCTAAGACAGTCCGAATTAGTAAACTGAAGAAGTGTGGGGAAATGAGAGCCATTTCCTGGGATATTTCTGGATACAGAAGGCAAGAGTACAGTTATAACTGGATGACTGTTAGATATCATTACAGTTTTGTAATTTATTTAAATGCTAATCATAACATTCAAGTCATTTTTCTAACTTTTTCCTTAAGAACATAGTCTATTTTTTTACCCATGAATATAACTAATTTATAAATATATGTGTAAATATATACATATAAAGTGCAAATTATTTCATTTAAAATGAAAAAAATACCCTTAATATTTAAATAAGCAATCATGAATCAATTTTACAATATTTCTGCCACAAGTAAAACATTTCATGAAAATGAAATATGGGGTTAACAAAAATTAATTTTCTAATACATTATAAAAAGATATTGGAATTAAATTATATTTCTAAAAGCTAAACAGCATTTAAAAGGTTGTGAGTCTAATGTGTAGTTTATTTTTTAATCAAGTTTATTGATTTATTTTATTTTTATATTATGTATTTATTTTTAGAGAGAGAGGAAAGGAGGGAGAAAGAGAGGGAGAGAAATATCAATGTGTGGTTGCCTCTCATGTGGCCTCCACTGGGGACCTGGCCTACAACCCAGGCATGCACCCTGACTGGGAATTGAACTGGTGACCCTTTGGTTTGCAGCCCATGCTCAATCCACTGAGCTATACCAGTTCTAGGGCTTAATGTGTAGTTTATTCTTGGTAAAGCAAAACATATCTGTGTTCTATTTTTAGGAATATTATATAGTTTTAAAATAGTAAAAAAAAATATATCTATATATTCCACCTTTCAGCCAGTTCCTAAGCCAAAATAAATTATATGAAATAAATTTTTTTTACTTGCTCATTACAATGTCTTCTACTTAAACTGTCCATTTTACTAAAACTATGTATGTAAAATAGCTCTGGACTGGATAATTACATCTCAAAATACTTTACATAAAAATAATCTGTTTCTACACATTGTCAGTAGAAAATAGATCCAAGACATGAAACACAAGTAGAACAATACCTAGTCACATAGTCTCCAAAGTCAGGAAGTGACATAATAACTATGTTTTCTACAATATCAGAGTTGTTAGAATGGTGTAATAGTGACCGAAAAGAAAAACACATATGAGAACAAGAAATATGAATTTATTTCATAGTATATAGGGGACCTATTATCTATCTATACATTTATGGTTCTATCACTCAAATCAAAACACACTTCAGAGCTAAAATAAACTAAAATACTTAAAAAGACAGGAAAGAGAGAGTAAATCTCTTACAAGGAGGGAGGCAGTGGCTTTTTGTTTGAAGGCATCGTCCACTATGGTCCTATCACTGCTTGTTCACTTTTCTTTAATGTTGTCATGTTATCCTTCTATGACCATGTCTTTCTATGCCAATGGCCCCCTTAAAACATGGGGTGTTTATCTACTTAGATCTTTGTTTTTCTACATTATAGAAAAAATGTAATACAATCCCGCTAAATCTTAAAGCCTGCTCTATTTCAGATCACTAAAGGAGTTGCTGTGGTGTGCTATTCCTAGCCTCAAACTTAAAGGCAGGTACGGTTTTCCATGAGATTGATACAAAGGCAACAGCACCCCTTTAAGCAATAATCTAGACAACAAAGAAAGGAAGATAAATTCATCTGTGAAGAGATTCTAATTTCTTCCATCATAGGTTATTTCTCACTCTTATCACACACAGAATTCCTACTGACCAAAGAAATTCTAAGATGGAGGCATAGGTAGATATGCTTCACCTCCTCACATAACCACAAAAAGAATTACAACTAAATCTCAAGCAAGTAACACCCAGAACTGTCAGAAAATCGAACTGTATGGAAGTCTGACACCAAAAAGCCACATTCATCCAAACAGGTAGTAGGAGCAGAGATGTGGAGAATGGACAGAGAGGTAAGGAGACCCTGTGTGGTGCAGAGAGCTGGCAGCAGGGGCAGAACAGGCACAGGCAGTCCCACATTCACTTGTGGTGGATAAAAATCAGGAGGGATACCTTGGGAGCCAGCAATCCCAGCCCCAAGCCAGACCTCACAGCTCAGGGTTCCAGTGCCAGGAAGGTAAATTCCCATAACCTCTGGCTGTAAAAACCAGTGGGTGTTGTGGCAGCAGAAGAAACTGCCAGATTTTCAGAAACTCTGCTTCAGGGGTCTTAAAATGTCTGCAAACCCACCTACTCTGGGATTCAACACCAGGGCAACAACTGGAAGGGTCCCAGTCACATAGGGGTATTAGTGAAGTGACTGGAAACCCAGCAAGTGACCCCCCAGAAACAAGGTAGTGGCACAGTCCCTCTCCAAAACCTCCTCCCACACAGAGCCACAAACCAGTGAAGCTGGTTGCCCTACCCTGATGATTACCTAAGGCTCCTCCCCACACAATTTACAGGGAGTAAAAGCAGCTGTACCTAACACACAGAAACAAACACAGGGAGGCTGTCAAATTGAGGAAACAAAGAAATATGGCCCAAATGAAAGAAAAGAACACAACCCTAGAAAAAGAACTAAATGAAACAGAAATAGCCAGCCTATCAAGTGCAGAGTTCAAAACACTGGTGACCAGGATGCTCAAAGAACTCATTGAGTACAGCAACAACATAAAGGAAGAAATGAAGGTTACACTAAGTGGAATACAGAAAAATCTATAGGGAATCAACAGTGACGGAAAGGAAGCCAGGATTCAAATCAATGATTTGGAACATAAGGAAGAAGTAAACATTCAACTAGAACAGAAAGAAGAAACAAGATTTTTTTTTAAAAATGAAGATAGTATAAGAAGCCTCTGGGACCCCTCCAAAAGTGCCAACATCTGAATCACAGGATGGCAGAAGTAGAAAAGGAAGAGCAAGAAAAACTTATTTGAAAAAATAATGAAAGACTGTAAGTCCTTTATACAAGTTCCTTGACTTCAAAAAAATAGTGAAAGAAAACTTCCCCAATTTGGTGAAGGAAATAGACATACAAGTCCAGGAAACAGAGAGAGTCCCAAGTAAGTTGGACTCAAAGAGAACCACACCAAGACATCTTAATTAAAATGCCAAAGGTAAAAGATAAAGAGAGAATCTTAAAGACAGAAAGAGAAAAGAAAATAGTTACCTACAAAGAAGTTCCCATAAGACTATTAGCTGACTTCTCAAAAAAACTTTTCAGGCAAGAAGGGACTAGCAAGAAGTATTCAAACTGATGAAAAGCAAGGACCTACAACCTGGATTACTCTATCCAGCAAAGCTATTATTTAGAGTGGAGGGACAGATAGAGTGCTTCTCTGACAATGTAAAACAAAAGGAGTTCATCAGCACCAAGCCATTATTACATGAAATGTTAAAGGGACTTATTTAAAAAAAAAAAGAAGATTAAAACTATGAACATTAAAAAGGCAACAAATTCACAATTATCAACTGGATCTGCAAAAATGAAAATGAAACAAAAGTAAGCCAACAACCAGAACAGGAACAGAATCATAGATATGGAAATATTTGGAGAGTTATCAGTTGGGAGGGGGGAGGGAGAAAGGCAGTATGGGGGAAAAGGTACAGGGATTAAAAAACATAATTGTTTGGTACAAAATAGACAGGGGGACATTAAGAATAGTATAGGAAATGGAGAAGCCACAGATCTAATATGCACAATGCATGGACACGAACTAAGGGGGAGGGGGATTGCTGGTGGGAAGGGGGGTACCAGGCAGAGGGGGGAAAAGGGAGAAAAACTGGGACAACTTTAATAACACAATCAACAAAATATACTTAAAAAAGGAAAGTTCTGAGCGGCAAGTAAATAAATTTACAGAAATAGGTCCAAAAATTGCCCAGAAAACAAGATTACACAATGGAATACTACAAAGCAGAAAGAAAGAAGGAGCTCTACCCTTCGTAACAGCGTGGGTGGAACTGGAGAACATTATGCTAAGTGAAATAACCCAGGCAGTGAAAGACAAAAGCATATGATTTCACCTATAAGTTTAACTTAATCAGCAAAACAAACAAATGAGCAAAACAGAACCAGAGCCATGGAAATAAAGAACAAACTGACAGTGACCAGAGGGGAGAGGGAAGGGGGATAAAGTAGGAGAAGGGGCAAGGCAAGGAACACAAATAGGGGACTTGGCATGGACAATGGGGGTGTGGAAGGGTACAGGACAGGAGAGAATAATGGGGGAAAAGGCTGGACAACTGTAACTGAACAACAATAAAAAAAGGAAAAAACAAATAAATAAAAATCTGGTCTCTTTGATGTATAGTGTGGGTAGCCTGTACTATACTCTTATTCAACAGAAAAGATTAAAGAGAACTAACAGAGAAAGAAAGAAGAAGCTGAAGATCTGACAACATGAAACACTAAAAGAGGCCAACAGAGGAGTAAACAGGTGGAGCAGAGCAGACAGAACAGGTATCAGAGAAATCATGCGAGACTTTATCAGTAAACAGAGTTTTAATGTCAGCTCTGCTGCTGTGCATGGGCACAATGTCTTCATCTCCTTCATCTCTGAAACCTGACAGAGAGGTCAACTAGATCAGTGTTTCTCCAACTTTAATGAGAAGAAG